GCCACCAAAACAGCTCGACACAATGCTCACCAATGGCTTGAGTGTCTATAAATCCTGTATATTAAACAGAGCACCAAATCTAAGAATCGACTTAGTGCTCCAGATAGGACAGTCCCTCTCTGTAGCTGAGTTTCTCCACCTGGCTGTGCGCATGTGAGTGGGCTGCTCACTGAGCCGTGGTTGCCCACTGGTTGACACTCCCCCAAACAGACAGGAATGCAGAAGTAGTAAGTGGGAGCTTACTGCTGCTGTTGCCGAGATACCATAAATCAGAAACATTTAACTCCAATGACTCTTACGTGAGACCAACTTTGCATATTCATTCTTTCTTCAAGTTTCTAACTCCCAAAGACATGTAGTAAAAAGCGGCAGAAAAAACCTGTTACATTTTTGACTAGAGGCTTTCAAATACATCTCAAAATGCAGCTATAGAAAATATGGTCTCTCTACTGAAATGACTGTTTTCAAAGACTTCACTGTTTCCTTATGAACTTTCATGTAGGTGCAATCAAACATGTTAGAAAGGGTAGACGTCTTTGACTCTAGAGGCAGGTACCTGTGTTCGTACTGCAGTTCTATCGCTTACCGGCTGAATTACCCTGGCCAACTAACTTAATTTCTCTAGGCTTTAGGGTAGATAAAACCAGTAAGAAGTAAAGCACATGACACAACACCTGGCTCTTACAAATAGTTAATACAGGGTGGACATCATATAAATATTACAGAACATGCAATTACAAAAAGTCATTCCATTTCATATGAAAAATACATACATGTTTACTTCTCATTTTATATTTTCATGATAGTAGCTGAGACTAATGACAAGTAGCAAGAGTATTCTGCCCTTACTTAGTACTTTGTGCATATTAAATATTGCATCTTTTTCATATCTATAAATGAAAAGAGTTCATATCTACAATTCAGTTCTCTCTCTCTCTCCTTTTTTTTTTTTTTTTTTTTTGGTACCAGGATCAAACTCATGACCTTGTGCTTGCCAGGCAGGCGCTTTATGCCACTGAGCTAAGTCCCTGCCCCAACTCAGTTACATTATAGACAAATTTTTCATTATTCAATTTAAAACACATTTTTTTGTCAAGCTTACAAACAATATAATTTAAGGGAAACAATATGGCGTTAAGAGACTTCATGGGAAAAGACAGGACTTAAAAAAAGATAATTATAAAAGATTTTAAGAGTATAACTGCATTTCACAACAGGGCTAAAAGGCTGAAGAGTATTAATACATATCAAAACTCATTAACAAGGTAAAGAGCAGCAACACTCGTAGGGTGATGACTACTCTCATGATTTCTCCAGGTGATGGTTAGCAGGGTAATATCACAACATGGACAGTCAATTGGTATTTGGAGCAGATGGATCGTTGAGATTGCCCCAAACCTGTTCCATCTTGATTATCACTGCTTTTACAAGTTAATACAACAATAAACAGCTTTTCCGTCATGTAATTACATTCTTATTTATTCCATCTACAGACCAAACAGAACAGGTAGACATTCTTGAACAAAACAAACAAAAATCACCCAAAATTAAGAACATCAAATTTGAGCATATAGTTCTTGTGGTATTTAAAACTCAAAACAATAATCACAGCACAAGTATATATTGAGTACCAAATTCTTTGCATCCATCAACTAACAAACTTTTTTGTTGAGTACCAGGAATCAAACTCAGGACCCTGCACTTGCCAGGCAGGGACTTACGCCACTGAACTATACTCAGCCCAACTAACTTAATCTTTATAGTAATCTTATGAGGAACACATTAGATTAAGTGACCTGCCTAAGATCACAAATACTGTATAGTAAGTTAGAAGACAGGGCATCTGAACCCAGGGAGCCTTTTTTCCTTTGAGACAGGGCCTTGCTCTGTAATTTAGGCTCGTCTTAAACTCTACTTAGTCTAGGCTGATTTCAAACTTCTGGCAATCTTGCTGCTTCAGCCTCCTGAGTGCTGGGATTACAAGTGTGCACCACCACGCCCAGCTGACCCAAGTCTTGAGTCTCACAGGTTACACTCTGAGCTTGAAACAGACACAGCATACAGCCCTTGCAGCACTGACCCCTTCCCCTAATACACTACAACTGGTGGGACCCCATCACAGAAGCTGTTTACTGTAATAAACAGTATCAAAACTTCATTAACAAGGTAAAGAGCAGCAACATTTGTAGGGTGTTTTTTGATGATAGAAACATACGCTATCATCAAAGCATTTCAACTTTGAGTCACTTACAGTTCCTCTTATCAATAACCACAATCTACACATAGTAATCTCTAAAGTACCACCATTACAATGCTTCTTATACAAGGGGTTGTTTCAGCTGTTTCCCCAAATTTCTCTTCTCAAATAGGACCACTGGACACAAGACTGAGACTTGCGATACAAAGTGAAATGTCACTAGGTACTGTGCAATGTTTTCTTATGTTCATAAGTGGTCATTTCTATTTAACAGCAATTATTCTTTTAAAAGATGGACACTTTAAACCAATGCTGTTAAAAAATAACTTAAACAAAAAGTTTTCAAAATCAATGCTGTATGAGTTCCCTATGGTAGTTCCTATTCTGCCACTAGTAGCTCCCATTCTGTATCTTTAATGATGAGCCACCACTCCTATTGCTATTCCCCTAACCTGTAGCCAAATTATTTCTACCCAGGCCATTTCTTACGGTTGAAGTTAAAACTTGTGCTCTAAAATTAGGGTTGGAAAATTTGAACATGTGAACAAAGGTGATGTAAAAACATCTAATAAACTCTCAATGTTATGGTCCTTTACAGCTCACATAATAATTTAAAAGCTTTCAGGAGGTTCTAACAATGCAACACACAATTTGATGAATATTTTTGTTTGTTTTTGTTTTGGTACCAGCAATTGAACTCAGGACCTCATGCCTCACCAGGCTCTGTGCTACTGAGTTATATACCTGGCCCTTTCTTTTTGGTTTTTTGAGATAGGGTCTCACTATGTAGTTCAGTGTGGCCTTGAACTCACTATATAGCCCAGGCTGGCCTCAAACTTGCAGCAATCCTCTTACCTCAGCCTTGGGAATGCTAGGATTATGGGCATGTGCCACCATGCTTGGCTAATAGGTGAAATTTTTATGTTAAGAAATTTTTTTGAAGAAATGAGCTCTGGGCATGGTGGTGCATGCCTGTAATCCCAGCACTAGGGAGGCTGAGGCAGGAGGATCATTATGAGTTCAAGACCAACCTGGGCTACAAAGTGAGTTCAAGGCCAGTCCAAACTGCACAAGAAGACCCTGTCTCAAAAAGACACACACACACACACACACACACACACACACACACACACAAAAGAAAAAGAAAAAGAAACAAAGAAACAAAGAAGAAATGAGAAACTCTTCTGCCAAATAACTACTTTGAGACTTCCAGAAGACTGTTACATTGTTATTGAGAGGATAGAGTCCAGGTACATTTCAGTGTGTATCAGTTTTCTGCCTAACAAACTGCTGTGTAATTAATGTTTATCCTACATTCCTGATAAAACAATATCCAATAGTTACCCCTGGGTATCAGAACAGAAAAGCTTTAAAATCTAAGTCTCAGTAAATTCCTTCCACTGATCCTGAATTTCACAAGACTAGCAAATTTCCAGATTATCCAGCCAACAACCATCTCTAGATAAAAGTGTTTGAGTCCTGAAGTAGTCTCAGATCCTTACGATAAAACCTATGGACCTTTTTCACTGGAAAATGCAAAGTTCACACAACAGATTCCTAGTCCCAGAAGAACTCTGCTCTACACTGTGCACAAAATGAAAGGAGAAAGCTGATGGCAATCTTGGACAGAAAATCAACTGTTTCATTTACAATTTGTTAGGAAAACCAGACCTTTTCACAGATTCCAAACTAAAGGCACTGATCAGGGTAGTAATTAACTTGAAGACAGCTCTGGTCAAACACATAGATCCTCCCCGCCCAGAACTTTTTCTTCAAAAACTCCACCTGGTGGATATTAAAGCTTGTCTTTCAGTACTAGGCTCAAAGGTCTCATCCATAGAGATTACTTCTCTAACCATCCTATGCAAAGCAGTCCTAAGGCCCTCTTATCACTTCTTAGTCTTTTACTTTGACAACAGTATTTATTACTATTCCAAAATGTCTCGGTAATTTTATTTCGTCTGCTCTGTTACTGTATAATTCACAGAGGGGCAGAACCTTGTCTGTCTTGTCCCCTACTGTGTCCCTGTTGTAATGCATGGTACACTGTGGTCATTTGATACATAACTTTAAAAAGGCTGACTTTGGCCTTAATGACCATACTGGCTACGGTATGAGTTAGACTTCTCTCCCTCTTTCCTTAATCTCCAGGTCCATTCAGGCAATAAATATTTACTGATCACCTATTGTATGTCAGGTATCGTAGCAGCTGCAATGAGAGAACCTCTGCTCTACAGACACTATAATTCAGGGAATCTCCTGGAATAAGTACATGTCTTGCAAGTGACAGGCCTGGAACATATAGATCATCCTCTATGTGCTCTCTCTGAGGGAAAGAACTAAAGGAAATTCTCAAATGACAGAAAACATTCATTCACCAATTGAGTACTTTCAAAAGCAAGCCTCAGGGGTTTCCCAGCACGGGCTGGGCAGCTCTTTCGGCCTGTTCGACTCACATGGGGCAACCTCAACTAGCTGAACCCAGGTAAAGAAAAAACTAAGCAATTGCTTCAGAAGACCTGGAGGTGGTTGGGAGCGGTACCAGGAAACTGGACAAAGAGTAATGGCAAGAGCCCAGGGAAGGGAGGCTGGAGAACCAACCATGACTGTCACCAACTTGCTAGGTGACCTTGGGCCAGTCCCGAGCACCTGGGAATCAATCAGGTCCCCAGGGATACAGAGAGGAAGCGGTCGGGTCGGGTCGGGTATTCGGGGACAGGGAGAAGCGGAAGCCAGGAGGCTAGGCGGGGTAACGGCCAGAGTGGGATGCCGGCGCGGGGCCGGGCCGGGGCGGCTCACCCACCGAGCGCCACCTGGCAGGCCCTGCGCAGCTGGGAGTGCTGGGGCCGCTTCACCTCCTTGTCGGCTAGAATCTTCTCCAGGGCCCGGGACACGAACATGCTCTTGGTCTGGCTTTCCTGCATGGCCCCGGCCCGGCGGAGGCTAGCAGCCCCGCGGGCTGGCGGCGCGAGCGAGCCGGCGACAGGGACTGTGGGCCCGGCCTCCTGGCCGGCACCGGCCACCCCCGTGCGCGCCGCCCAGTCAGGAAGAGACGCCCCGGCCCCACGGCGCCGCCATGTTGGAGCGCGTCACGTGATCACGTGATTAGTGGGGCCGTGGCGGCCGCCGAGCGTCCGTCAACCCCGTGACCCGAAGGGGCGGGGCCTGTCCGGGGGGCGTGGCCTGATGGGATGAGCAGCGGGCTGGAGGAGGGAGGGAGAAAACTCGGGGATGTGAGCGCGAGTGGGTGGAGAGAAAGGGACCCGCGGAATGAGGAAAGTAAGAGGGCGGAGAGGCGGCGGTAGAGGTGAGAGGAGGAAAATGTGGGAGTCAGGCGAGGAAAGAGCCTGGAAGGAGGAAGTGGGGAAAAGTTTGGAAGACAGTCGGTAACGTGAATGAAGGAGGTGATCCGAAGGAGTGGGAGGTGAGGGGAGCTATGGAGCAAGGAGACACGGGAGGAGGGGGATAGGAGAGAGTGAACGGAAAGAGGAGGTGGAGGAAAGGGAACCAGAGGGAGATGAGTGCGGGGAGAGGGAGGGGATAGTAGACAAGATGGGAAGAGGAAGTGAGAAGAGGAAAGGGAGTGAAATGAAAGTGTGGCGGGGAGGAGAGGAGGGAATTTGGAAAGAACAAGCTAGGGATGGAGAGAGGAGGAAAGCAAAGGGGCGAGGCGGCAGGGACTCCAGGGAGGACAGAGAGGAGGGGAAGGTGTGCTCAGGGACGCTTTCCTCCGCGGGGCTGGGGCCGCACAGCATCCACGCACCCCTCCTCTCTGGCAGTGGGGCTGGCTCCTGGCCAGCCAGCCTGTGAGCCTCTGTTCACTGAGTGCTGTGTCTGCACCTTGCTGCCCGGAAGCACTTGCCTCCTTCTGGAGTTTGTGGTTTATTTTCATAAACCTGTGTTCCACACGGTGTGGGGGCAAAACACAGTGCTTTGGGGCATTTGACAGGGGAAGCACTTGACCAAGATGGCCAGTGTGACAGTCTGCTAATGAGTGAAGAAGATGGAGGTTAGGGCAGTAGCTCAGTATCAGAGTGCTTGCTAATCATGCAAGGCCCTAGGTTCAGTCTCCAGCTGGCCTGGGGGAGCCCTGGCACACATCCTTCTAAGCCTGCTTCTACTCCGTCCTACAATAGTGATGATATCACAGCAGTCATAATTAATGTCACTGGACTTTCTCTAAGTGATGCTCTCCCAAGCACAGCTTTAGTGCTGCAGCTCACTTGGCAGCCTAGGGAACTTCCCATGCAGGTATAAGGGCTGGCCTGGGCACGGTGGTGCAGTGTTTCAGTCACTAAATTGTCCAGGCTGGGCTCAACTTTCTGAACTTCCACCCCAACTTTCCAGAGTGCTGGGATTACAGGTGTGAGCCACTACACCCAATCAGACCATGTCACTCTCTCATATTTCTAGAACTGTTGGAGGTTGAAGCAGGAGGATCATAAATTGGAGCCCAGCCTGGAAAACTGTTTTAGAAAGATCCTGTCTCAAAATTTAAAATAAAATAAAGGCCATGAACTTACTCTTCAGTTAGTACTGCAACACTCACACGCATACCAACACATCTCAATTCAGACATTTCCCTGGCCTTCCCAGACCACCCTACCCAGCTGAGGTTTTCCACAGCATCTGTTGACCTTTTACACTAGTCAACTCATTTGTGGTCTCACTAGAGAGAGGCCTGCAGAGGAACAGGCTGTGTCCCCAGGGCCTGGTCCAGAGCCAGGTAGACCATTTCATGGACATAAGTCCCATACGTTCCATTGCTTATGCAGTAATGTGACTTTGCAGCTCCAGAATTCCAGCAAGAGGTAAAGTCTGGCTGGGAATGGTGGCACACACCTGTAATTCCAGCTATTTGGGAAGCTGAGAGAGGAGGATTGCAAATCTGAGGCCAGCCTGGGCAATTTAGAAAGACTTTGTCTCAAAATTTAAAAAAACAAACAAACAAACTTTTTTTTTAAATGTAAAGAATAAAAGAGCTGGAGATGTAGAACTACACACACATACACATACACACACTCGAGATATAATCTGTTTCTCCATCCCCTTGAAACCTAGACTGGCCTGTGACTTGCCTTAACCAACAGGATGTGGCAAAGATGAGGCTGTTTGCATACCAGGGCCCCCTGTGAGAGGCCTGGCCCACTCTTTCCTTTTTTGCTCTTATAATGTGATGCTCAGAAACAGTGCTGGAGGAAAGAGCACATGGAGAGAGCCCAGGCCCCAGTCACCATACCGTTGGATACAGCAGCATGAGAGACCTTGGTGAGAACAGCAGCAGAACTGCTCAAACAACCCACAGAATACGGAAAGTAACACTTTGTTATTTTAAGCCCTATATTTTGGGGTAGCTTGTTTCACAGCAATAGGTCACTGAGATGCTGCTTACTGCTCATGTGTTGAATGAATGAAAGTGAATGAATGTGTGAAATTCTCAGAAAATCTCAGGGCAATCTGCTGAGTGACACAGGTTTTACTTGGAGTCGAATCCAGGCCCTTTGTACTGAGCTATCTCCTCAGCCTCTGTTTATTTTGAGAAGGGTCTCACCAAGTTGCTTAGTTGCCCAAAGTAGGCTCCTCCTGCCTTAACCCCCCAGAGCATGCCACCATACCTAGCTGAGTGACAAGTTTAGAATCAGACCGTGTCACTGCCCTGAAAAGCCAACAGTGGTTCCCCATCACCCTTGGAATTGAGTCTCAGTTTCCCCCTGTGGCTTTGATACAAGTCTTCCCACTTGTCTAACCTCATCACCCTCTTCCTCCTCAGGACTCCCAGGCCTCTCCAAATTCCATTTTGCCCTATCAGTGATTTGACTCACGTGCTTTTGTCTAAGCTGGCAGTTCTCAACAAAGGCTATACCACCCCAAAGGGTATTTGACAATTTTTGTTGTTGTTGTTTTGTTTTTTGAGATGGGGTTTTGCTATGTAGTTCAAGCTGGCCTTGAGCTCACTATGTAGCCCAAGCTGGCTTGGAACTCATGGTGATCCTCCTGTCTTTAAGAGTACTGGGCTTACGGGTGTGAGCCACCACACTGGGCTAACAATATTTTTTTCCACAACAGGAAGAGCTGTGATGTTAGACAACTTCTTGCATGGAGCTGGTGAATCCCACTGTTATGACTTGAATATGAAGTTAAGGGCTTGATCCCCAATGCTGCAGTGTTCACAGATGAGACCTACAGAGGGGACTGGATGTTGGGAACTCTGACTTCATTAATGGATAGGACTGTTAATGTCTGTTATCTGTTAATGAGTTAGAATCTGTTAATGAGTTCCCAGGTGATTAAGCTGTTAGGAGGGAGGGAGGGAGGAGATCCTAGGGGTTGCCTGTCAGGTTACAGTTTTTCTCTGGCTCCTCTGTGCGCTCTCTGCTTCCTGGTTTGAGCAGCTTCCTCCGCCACACTCTTCCCTCCTATCTCTTCTGTGTTGAAGCCAGCTGAACTGAAACTTCTGAAGCTGTGAGCCAAAACAAACTTTTTCTCCTTCAAGCTGCAGATGTCAGGTATTTTGCCCTAGAAACAGAAAGGTAATGAACGCAAACATAGAGCGATACCAGTGACAGGTGGTTGGATGTTTCTGGAGGTAAATAGCCTGTTGATAATGACCTGAGCCTAGAACCTAAGTCCACTTTGCATAGAGTACAAAGCATTTATAGTTCAGTTTTAGTGTTACTAAGTTGTCCAGAAATGCAACTATCATTGTAATTTTTTTTTCAAAAAAATTTTTTTTAATCAGTACCAGGGATCGAACTCATGGCCACCCGCTTGCAAGGCAGGCGCTTACACCACTGAGCTAAATCCCCAACCCCTTATCATTGTAATTTGAAGGAAAAAATATATATTTTTTGTCAGAAACTTTACTAAGTATCATTTGCCATTTGAAAACCCCATGACCCAACCATGATGTCTGATAGGCTCCAATACCAACCCCGGTCAGTCTGCATTTGTAGCTGTCAAAGTCCAAGGGACTCTGCTTTTAGATTCTATCACCTGACTACTTCATTCTATCTTCTAGTGTAATTCTGCCTGAGCATTTAGCAATGGAAGTCAAATTAGTGAATTATACATTGCCTTCTTTTTATTTTTTTTTGTGTCTTTTTCTTTTTTTATCGGTACCAGGGATCAACCTCATGACTGCCTGCTTGCAAGGCAGGTGCTTATGCCGCTGAGCTAAATCCCCAGCCCCTTTTGTTTTATTTTTAAAATCATTATCTTTTATTAAAACTATATGTGTAGAAGATTTTTTTATCTGTGAATTTCACTGTAGAATCAGTGGAACAGAATAAAAGATGTAGACACAACTCCAGGCACTCTCAGCTACCTTCTCTTTGACAAAGGAGCCAAGCACCTTCACTGGAAGAAAGAACACCTCTTTAATAAAGGGTGCTGGAAAAATTGGCTTTCCACACACTATTAAACCTAGACCCATACCTCTCAACACACACTAAACTAAAATCAAAATAGATCAAAGATCTAAATATGAAAACAAAATCTAAATCTATTGGAAGGTGTCACACCTGACAGGTGAGGCCATCACGCACAGGCATGGCAGGAAGCCATAGAACAGCAAAGCCATGTCCAAGCTGACCACACTCCTATGTGCCCTATCTGTTCAGAGACTCACAGTCAGTCACACTATCTACCTGTGAATTCCTCCCCTCCCCTTAAATCCTTTGCTCTCCCCGGGCTTCCTGTTGATTCTACCCACCTAACTCAGCCCACTCCCACAGGGAGGGAATAAACAGCCATGGTTTCTTATACAGAGCTATCTCAGGTGATCTCGCTCCCCTCTGTGCCTTTAACCTAGAAGACAGAATAGATAAAACTCTGGGAGACATCGTAACCAGAGACTCCGTGAACAAAACACTGATCCCACAGAAAATATGACAAAGAAGCAGTAACTGGGGTCACATCAGATTAAAAAGCTTTTCCACCACAAAAGAAATAACCAACAGAATGAAGAGACAGCCCACACAGTGAGAAAAAATTAGCAGTTATTCCTCAACGTGCTAACATCTACCATACATGAAGAACAAAAACAAACACACAAAAACAAATCAGACCGCTTATATTTAAAGACCCAATCTAAAAATGGGCATTTGAAACGAGTAGACATTTCTTAGATGAAGATGAACAAACAGGAAATAAATATGTGGAAAAAAAAGTTCAACGTCACTGGTCACTTGAGAGATGCAAATTAAAAAAAAAAAAAAAAAAACAGAGATTCCCATCTCACTCCAGAAAGAATGGCTATCACCAAGAAATCAACCAATAACAAATGCTGGTGGGGCTGTGGAGAAAAAGGAACCCTGCTCCACTGTTGGTGGGAGTGCAGACTGGTACAGCCACTGTGGAAATCAGTGTGGAGACTTTTCAAAAAAACTAAAGCTAGAGGTTCCATTTGGTTCAGCTCTTCCCCTTCTAGGCCTGAAAGAGTTAAAAGCATACCACAGTGATATATGCACGCCCATTTTATAGCAGCACAATTTATAGTGGCTAAATCTTGGAAACAGCCCACATAGCCATCGACAGATGAGTGGATAAAAGAGATGTGGAATTTAGAAGCAGTGGAGTACTACTCTGCCATAAATAAGGATGAGCTTGAGTTATTTGTGGGTAAATGGATACAATTCAAGACTGTAGTTTTAAGTGAAATAGCCAAGACACACAAGTTTGAATATCACATTATTTCTTTCTCTTTTCACATTATTTCTCTTGTGTGAGAACCCCTACCAAACAAAGTGGAGGATAGATACTGGGAAGTAGGAAGAACATGTTCAAATAGGAAAGGGCACAAAGGACGGAGAGAGAAAAGGGAAGAAAGGGAAAAGGATTGGGAAACAAAGAATAGGAGAAAAATGGAAATAAACTTCTGTAAATGGGGAGGGAAAGGAGTTGAAGATCAGGGAGGGACAAGTATAGGTACAAATTCCCTATGCTTGTGAGTACCATGTGTGGCAAATATGTACCCATAAAAAACTTAAAAAGGAACAGAATAGTCAGCACTGGCCTGCGTAGCTCCTGCCAGTGCTGGACACTGGCCACCGGTCCCCCAACACTGCGTTCTCAGCTGCGGCCCCACAGAGGTCCGCACCACCCTCCGATCTCACATCTTACCCCCCCCTTCCACATCCTCTTACCTGCACTGAACTTAATTTGAAAGGGTGATGTGCATTCATCTGTGCATTTGCTACCTACTGCTATGCAATGAACACTTCAGGATTTAAAGCCAAGCACTTGTTACCACAGTTTGCATGGGGTGGGATCCGTGTGAAGTCTTGGGAAACTGTGACAAGTGTCAGCTGGGGCTGTGGTCACCTGCAGGCTCCTGCCCTGGGCCCGAAGATGGGCTTCCGGAGGTCCCAGGGCCTCCGCCATGCGTGCAGCTGCTTGCATGTGTTTGAGCTGTGGCAGCTCACTCACCCATAGTCAGCGGTCACAGAGCGACAGACAGATGGACAGCCTGGCTGACCAACTGACCTCGCTTCCAAAGAGGCTCCCCTGGCACACAGACTGAGGGTAGTGTCTTGGCGACTCAGCATGGTAGCGTCAAATGTTGGTCACGTGGTCTTGCAGGGGTGAACAATGTTTGATAAAGTTTCTGACAAAACAGTTTTCACGTGATGCACAGGAGTGTGCTGGAAGTGAGAGATTCAGCCCAGCCCACAGCAGGGGAAGAGGTCATTCCTCTAGCTGGGTGAACTTTGGCCTGTGCGTGGGCAATGGCCTTTTGCCCCACGGGGTGTCCTCACCCAGCCTGGGGAGGAGCTCTGGCTGGGCCGCTCCCCCTTCCAACTTTTCTTGACTCTGTCCCAGGCCAAGGTGCAGCTCTCCACATTCTGCCTCTTATCTGTGCCTCCTGGATGATGCAGCTTGTGGCCCTACCTATTTGTTCATCTCTTCCTCATAATCTCCCTCTCCCTGCCCCTCTCCTCTCTCTCTCTGTTTCCTCATTTTGTGTTTCTGCCCCTGTAGTCCTCTCTCTCTCTTTGTCCTCCAGCTATGGTGGCCAGATTGACAAAATAAACATAGGATACCAGTTAAATTTGAGTTTTGGATCAACCACAAATGCTTTTTGTTAGTATAAGTATGTCACTATGCAATAACAGGGACATAATTATACCAAAAAGAAAAAAAAATTCTCTGTTTACCTGTAATGCTACATCCTGACCCTTCGAATGCCCAGCAGCCATGTTGGACCATGAGGCGGCAGCCATGTTGGACCATGAGGTGGCAGCCATGTTGGACCATGAGGCAATCGTTAGAAAGGAAGTGACTGTCCTCAAACATGAGAGAGCAGGCCGTACCTGGGGCTCTGATACTCTGGAGAGTGACAACTCTGGGGTACTTACATATCGATTTTACCTGAGACAGATATAAATAACCTTTTATTTTTGGTTTTCTATCCCGCACACTGAACTCAGTCCTAAGTAAAAGCTGGCCCCTGGGCTGTGTCTGCCCCGATTCCCTGTTCTCCTCTGAATAATGTCTCCACAGGGCCACATGTGCCTGTCAGCCTGGCCAGCTGCCAGTCCGGTTTTTGTCCACCACACACAGACCCTCTTTAAGCTCCTGGCCACACGCATGTTTCCCATGTGTACTTAAAGCAAAACTCAGATGTAACTGCCTGGTCCTCAGGCAGGGTGGGAGCCAGAAGCACCACTTGGTGGGGTCTCATTAAGGAAGAACTTCAAGGTTTTCTCAGAGGGAAGATGAAGCTACCCCTATCTAGTCATCCATCCATCTATCTGTCCATCCTTCCGTCTGTCAGTCTCAGGTATACTCTGCTCATTTGTGTTTTTGTTCCACGTCTTGGTCCCTATCCTGCCCCAGACGACCCTGAGGGAAGGACGGAGTTTCACAGGGAGGTGTGTTGGGGGCAGGGAAGGGAGGCAGCCAGGATGGGGTGCGGTGCCTAGCCAGTTATCCCCAGGGCAACTGGGGCTCTGTGCCTCTAGGCAGCCTCGGGCCAGTGTAGACCTGTCTCCAGGTGATTCCAGGCCAGGGCGAGGAGTTGGCCCATGTCAGCCTGGGCAGTTTAGCAAAGTGGCAAAACCAATTTCAAAAGAGCTTGGGATGCAGCTTAGTAGCACTGAGGGTTCTTTTGCTTGATTCAGATAGGAATCATTAACGGCTAACAGCCTGATGCCACTGGCCAATGCTGGATGACAGTGGTTGGCACTGCTGGCTGCTGGTCTCTGCCACTGCTGCCACCACCATTCAGCCCGCCCCTGTGCTGGATGCTATGGGGTTTTGGACTCTGGAGCTCTTTGGGGCCAATGGTCTCTAATATTTACTGCTCTTTCTTTCAAAGCAACTTCTCTGTCCACACTACTCAGCATCCTGAGTAGATTTACAGGAGCCCCTGAACCCACAATGCCCACAATGCTCTTTATTTATTTATTTTTTTGGTACCAGGGATCGAACTCACTGCCAGGCAGTGCGCTTATGCCGCTGAGCTAAACCCCCAGCCCAAGACCTCATTTTAACAGGACATATGTGGCATCACAGAGGTATCAGTACACCAAAAGGAGCCTTCCTAGACTACCCAAGACGGGTGGGGGGAGCACTGCTTATCCAGCAGCTGTGGGCCTGCGATTGGTTCAGATTTGGGCTTGAGTTTGGTTCAATCGGATACAGGGCTCCAGGACACCAGCAGCTGAATTGGCCATTTGATGAGAGGGTAGAGCCTTGAGTTGTTTGACTGACAGCTGTCATGTCTCCGTGGAAAATGGATGGGACTGAAACCTGGAGCTCCTCAGAAGGTCTAGCTGTGTTCATTACAACCCACTGGAGCTCGGGGAGGTTTGAACCAGGGCCATCCTTCCCTGATCTTAGTCACGTCAAGGTGATCTCCCGCTGCAAAGATGTGGACGCAGCATCTGGAGTGGTGGGCACAAGAACCGGTCACCGGGCCGGCAGCTGGGTGGCTGCGCAGCTGGGAGAGGGCAGCAGAGCGACCTCACATGCAGCGGGGAGGACACTGAGGCAAGAGGCAACTGTCAAATCCACTTTTGGGTGAGGTGGGGATCTAGGGGAGCAAAGGACACCAAAGGGGAGGGGTGCCACAGCCACTGGCCA